TAGACTATTTTATCTGAAGAGTGCTGCACCATGTATGTGTAGCACGAAACTAAATAGTAATAAATATGTCTAATCAAAGCTACTGTTGAACCTCTCATTTTTTGTCTATATATATATATATATACAGTATATATATATTGCTGTTGGATGTGATGGGAATAAATAAATAAATAAAATTTAACCCAATGAGGGGAACTAATTTGCTGCCATGGGGTGCATCCGGACACCCTTCTTCCCGACCATACTCCCATGAGTTCTCTATGATATATGATCAGTTTGCTCTTTGGTACCATAACTCATGATTCATTTTTGTCAAGATGATTGCTTCCATTTGTAAGTCAAAATTGGATTTTATCCTTTGTAGAACACTGGTTCAAATACATCTGTGCAAGTTGTTTTCTCTCATTCCAAGCCATGCTGTAGACACAGATGAATATGAGGTACGATATAAAATTTACAGAGCCAAGCGCCGCTCTTGAATATGCGCCGCGGCACTTAATCAAGAGCATAATTTGCCCTGTGTGTATAATGAAACACTTTTAGAAACAGGGTTTTCAATACAAACATTGTTAAAATGTAGAAAAAACACAATGAAGACACAAGCATTTCTTTATAAACATTTACAATGCCGTGGCCTACTGAAGTACGGGTATACATGAGATAGATAACATGGGAAAGGGCATGGAAAGCGTCAGGCCAATATTTTATGAAATTCAAGGTCGGCGTAGTTTTTTTTCTTTTTTTCTACAACGAACGATATTTTTTCGTGAGCTGATAAGGCTGTAATATCAGGCGAATCAAAAATTGTTGTATTATTTGTGTATTTTCTACTGTTCAAATTTTTGATTTAAAAAAAAAAAGTTTTCCTACCGACCTACCCATTTTTTGGATTTTCCCAAAACATGGCCAACACAAAAATTTATTTTCTTTTTACCTAAATGTACAGCTTTCCAACAGTCTAACCCTTGCCTGCGGGGAAAAGATAATGATGATGATGAGTTCAATGTAAATAGTGTTTGCAGCTGGCTGACATGTTGTCACTGTGGCAAATGTCACCCAATGTAAATTTCTGACAATTATGTGCAATTCCTGAAATAAAAAAATATTATTTATAAGCATTGATCAAACGATTGAAAAATTTCTTATTGAACAAATTATTTTAATTCTTCAGGAGTTTAGGTCTGATGCTGTAGAGATGCTGTGGTCACTATCGTCCAGTCAGAAGGCAGCTGTTGCGGGCGCTGCATTCACTGCTTTAGCCAAGTTTGATGCAGAGGAGTTCACACTCTATGATCTTCCTGAAGAGGTAATAACTTGTGCTGTAGCTGATGTCAACATAACTAAAGTTTGTGATCTTGAGCAATAATTGACAGAGTCTCCAAAAACCCAGCATGTCAATAAGTTTTGGTTTCATACCATACCACGCCCGACCCACCCACATTTTACGAAATTAAGGGTTTTATTTTATTTATTTATTTTTTTTTTTTTGACAATTAACAATAATTTATATGAGCAAATAAGGCAGGAATAGCCTTGGCGAGGCTAGGGGGCCAAGGCTAGCCTATGTTGCTAGATTGTACTACTGTATTTGTGTGCTTTCTACTTCTTAGGCGTAAACACATATTTGGTTATAAAAAGAAAAAAATGTCCTACCGACCTACCAATTTTTTGGATTTTCCCAAAAAAATAGCCAACACAAAAAAAATGGGGTTTTTTTTTGGCCTCACTGGACATAGTAAAATATATATATATTTAATATAAATGTTTGTACAAATAGATATATGTTTATGTAAGTTCATACATTATTTGGACTAACACAATATTTCAGATTGTTTTCTTGTCTTAGTGCTCATGATTTACCACAAAAAAAATTATCTAATTATTGCTAACATTTTCAGAAGCAACTCCAAAATTAGGAAGTTGTACTTGCATCTCTTAATATGTAAAGGCTCTGGCAAATTCTAATTTAAGAATAACTTGAATGATAGGTCAACAAAATTGTTTTTTCCATGGTTTATTGTTGTCCATGCGTTTGATAAGAATTGTCTAAATTCTAGACTAAATGTATTAGAAACTAAAGGTATTATTACATAAGATATGTTAATGATGGGTTAAAAGCTATATAAATATAAAAACAGTTTTTAAATGTATTATTTATCTATTATTATTATTTGTATTATTTAAAATGATAGGTCACCTTGCATGTAAGGGAGAAACTTGCTAAACTCAAGAATGATAGGCAGGTAGGGGGAGAGGAGGAGGGGGAGGATGATGATGAAGATGACATCGATGTTCCTGGAAGCTGTTACTTGCAGTTACTGCTTCATATTGATGAAGAGGTCTTGTCTGGTAAATCCTCAGCTAATTATTGTTTTGCAGATGTTTTATATTGATCATAACTTTGTTTTAAATGTAATTGTCACTGATACTACTTGACTCATTTTAATTGGAATTATTTTAAACATTTATGTAGTTCATTCCCAGTTATGATGACTTGATGAATTTCACTCGGCATTCCTTGTCAAGCATTGCTTTAAGAAGGAAAGATCTACACTTGCAATTTTCTTAAAACTGGTTTTTCCACAAGGCCTAGTTTATGCTTCACAAATTTAAATCTCATAATAAGGCTTAGAGAGAGGAGTTGTTTTAAGCCGGGCACCCACTGCATCGTCGCACGACGAATCCAAACCTGCTCACCCGGCCGTCCCGAGGCAAAATAACATAACTGACATTTTTGTTGATTTTGAGATAACATCATTTTTAGAGTATATTAAACACATCTGAATCACCTGTGAAAATTTCAGGCCTCAATAATATGTAGTTTCGGAGATAGCACCACTTATCTTTAAGCACAAAACTTAAAATCTAGTGATTTTCCCTGGTGAAACAGTGTAACTGGAAGATTACTAGGCAAAACAACGTATCTACGATGAAAATACGTTCTTTATAAGATTGCGTTGGCCAACTACCGTCGAGCACAGTGAGTGCTGTGACATGAATTGAACCTAAGACCCTGAGATTTGAATGCAAACATCTTAAACACCAGCCATTCGACTCCACTCCATATATTACTTTGATTTAATTTTAATTAAGGTGGTTTTTTTTATGATTAAATTTTAACAATTATTTTTAGTATTTTCATTCATTCAGAGTTTGGACTTTTTTAATTAAGGAGAAATAATAATTTTAATAATTATTTGTTTTTGATTAATCCTTCAGAATTTAGATGTTTTTTAACATCGATGATACAGCGTGAAGTGAAGGAGTTGCCACGGAGTGTGTATCATCCAACTCAACTTAGACAGGCTAACAACGAGAAGTCCATAAGCAAAGCAGTGGCTACTATTGCTGGTGTCCTCAAGAATAAATACGACAGAAACAAACAACCTGGCCTAAAGGCAGGCCTAGCAGGTAGTCCAAAATATTAATAAATATATAATTATTAAATGAAATTGTAATTGTTATAAAATAAATTAATTAAATAGTATTATAATATTCATCAACAGTAAGAAATATTTTTAAAAGATAGGTAAGACACAGAAATGATTTAATTGTATAATATATTTAATATATATGATATACTATAGAAAGTACTCAAAAACATTCATTTTTAGGTAAGCTATCATTTATTTAAATTGGAATGTATGGACAGTGGCAGATTCAAGGGGGAGCAGGCCTAGGCCTCTCTATATTTTTCAAAATGCAAAAAAAATGCAGAAAAAAGGTATAATGTTAATTAAATTTCTGTCTGTAAGTGCCATTTCTTGCCATCTAGAGGTGTCATAATCATAAATTTTCTTATCTCAGGTCTACACTGTCCATCGGTGAGATTCTCTTCCCCCTACAGTAGGTCAGATAGATTTAATTATGAATGACTGAGTGAATACCCTTTATATTATTCCTCAATAAATGTACATTACATACCTTTCATTTTTATTTATACCAACACCAGGTGGTTTGTTGTGTTGCTTTGAGTCTATACCTCCAGTCGGGAGAGAGGGCAAAGTAGAAAGACGCCACCTAGCCAGTTCAGGACGAGCTTATCAGCAAATGCTGACCACATTAGTAAACGAGGTAGTTTTGTTTGTTATGTATTAAAAAGAGCATTTGCACTTTGTAGCTTTTTAATTAGTATACAACTCATGACAATGCTTATATACCAATAACAACTGTAAAAATCCTGTGCTATTCAACTTGTGATTGGCTGTTATCTCACAAATTGTTTCAAGCTCCATATGCATAAGTCTCCTTCTAATTAAAGACCATTAAACAAACACACAAAGAACTTTTTAAACCAGACAATCTTGGTAGCTTGGCAAATTCCCTATTTGATGGTGACAAGCAAATGTTAGCTGATAGAATAAACCAATACTTCCACTCCATAACTGAACTTCATCAACCAATAATGCCTGTACAACCACCAGAAGAGGCTGTACCAGACCAATTAATTATTAGTCCAGAAGCCGTTGAAATCAAACTTCGTAACATTTATAGATACAAACCCAGATAACATTCCTAATTGGATACTAAAAGAATTTTCAACTCAATTGGCGTATCCTCTGTGTGCAATTATTAACTCTAGCTTGTGCGAAGCATACATGCCTCAGATATGGAAGTCGGCAAATGTTGTGCCAATTCCCAAAGTCAACCATCCAAAGAACACAGAAAATGACTTGCGTCCTATTTCTCTTAAGCCCACAGTGGCAAAAATCACTGAAAGCCTAATAGGTGAACACTTATGGTCTGAAGTAAAAGATAATGATAATAAATTTGGTTGTATGACTGTTGACGCCTTAGTTAAACTCCTCTGTCATGGCTACCATTCTACAGATAAAGGGGAACAGTTGCCTATCCTATTAGTTGATTTTAAAAGGGCTTACGATTACAATGGTCGTAATATTGTTATCCAGAAACTCAGAGGCATTGAGTTTCTCCTCATATTATAGCCTGAATTAGTTCATTTCTAGAAAATAGACTCCAACGTGTTAAATTAGGAAATTTCACTACAAAGTGGCTCTCTCCAAATGGGGGATCAGGCCAGGGTAACTGGCTCTAAGTTATTATCTTTATTATTTTCATAAATGATCTTCAGGTTCAAAATATGTGTGTTAAATTTATGGACGATACATCCATTGCAGAATACATTGATAAAAATAAATTTTCCACTTCACAGGATGACCTCAACTCAGTAGTAGACTGGTCCTCTGAGAACCACATGAAACTAAATGTTAAAAAAACTAAAGAAATTTTCATTAGTTGTAAACGCAAATGTGCACACATTAGCCCCCTGTCTATTGATAGGGAACGATGAGTTTATTAGAAAAAATTTGTATATTATATATTTTTCTTTTCTTTCTTTTTTTTTTTTAATGTTAGTCTTGTAATGGTTTTGTGAATAAGGGAAATAATTGCAATAGTAAATATAATAATAATATTAAATTATAATAATTGGTTTAATAATAATAATAGTAATTTCAAACAATAATAATCTTAATGTGTCTTCTTACCTTATTGTACATTTCAAAACTCATATTAGTTTTGCAATAAATTTATATTGAATTAAATTGAATTGTATACCGGTGCAAAAGAAATTTTCATTATTATTATTATTTTAGTTACTTTAGAGACCAGTGTAGTTGTAGTGCCCCCTCTATTTTGAATGTATTTTGGATTAACCCACCTTATTTCAACACCTGACCATTTCCTTGAGCATGAGCAGTATCTGAATTCAAATTTACTATTTAACATTTAATGTATTTCTTGTAATTTATTTGGACTTGTTTTCATCACGATTCTTCCCTTTCGATGTTTTTCCTTGGTTTTTTGAAATGTTGTACTTGTCTTGCTTTGTCTTTTATTCAGACACGGCCTAGGCATTTGTTTTTCCTTTTGATGAATAAAGTGATTTTAAACAACAGGAAGTTCCAGTTTATAGTTCCTCAATTTAACTGATCACTTACTTATTATATTTACCAAGTTTATTTCGTGAATACTTACCTGGATAACCGACTAATTGCCATTGTTCCCAAAACGGAACACCCCTCCGAAAAAAAATGGAACAGTCTGACCCAAGGCGCCACGTGCGAACCGTCTCCCTAACAAACGTCCTCATTCCCTAAAGATCGACACAATCACGGCGAGGGTAGGAAGGGAGGGAAGGTTATCCAGGTAAGTATCTCACTCATAGACTACCAACATCACGATTGATTTGTGTAGTCTATTTCGTGAATACTTACCTGGATAACCGACTAATTGTTTCCAGGGACGTAGCCAGGATTTTGAAAGGGGGGGAGCCGTTATGCGAATTACGTATGACCCCGGCGGGGTCAAGGGGGCAAATCCCCCTGTGAAGTAGCGCAATCTGAACGTTCTTAGGACTGTTTGAGAGGATGAAGTGAAAATTGCAATAGACGCATTATAAATAAGCGCAAAAATAATTATATAATAAATCAACAGTGGCAGATCCAGGAATTCGAAAGAGAGGTGAACCAGGGAGGGACTTTCACAGACCGAGGAACCACCCACCTCAGCCCCACCATGGTTGGGGCTGCGGTAAGAAAATTTATGATTAAGGCATCTCTAGATGGCCGGAAATTACACTCTCGCACTTCAATTTGAATATATTTTTCTTTCTTTTTTTTTTTCTTTAAAAAAATGAAGGGGGGGGGGCCTTGAATCCACCTCTGCTCAAAACATTCTTTATCCAGAATAGTCATAATCACTAAAAATGGACATGAAAAACCAGATCACAGCCTAAAAACAAACAGCAATCACTAAGACATACATCAGGAGCCGACTCGATGGAGTTTACTATCATACCCAGGGAAGGGCACAGATCTGTTTTGAAAGGTGGAGGGGGAGGGCATTTTGTGAGTCGACACCCACCTCAGCCCCACCATGGCTATGGCTGAGGTGAGAAAATTTGAGGAAATAGTACCTCTAGATGGCTAGAAATGACACTTTTAGTAAAATTCATCATCATCATCACATCACCATTAGTCAAAATGAAGCGCCAAAAAAAATTCTCATGATCTTTCATTAGGGATTTTTGACAACCATAGAGATCTTATTAATGTGTGTGTGTATACCATAGAAAACAAAGCTTAAAAACATTGTCTTTGAGAATGTACTTTATATAGGCCTACTTCAAAAACGTGATTTCACAACCACCTCAGTCCCACCATGGCTGAGGTGAGAAAATTTGAGGAAATAGTACCTCTCGGGATGGGCGGAAATGACACTTTTATATAGTAAAATTCATTATCATCACATTACCATTATAGTCAAAATGAAACGCCAATAAATTTCTCATGATCTTTTATCAGGAATCTACTTAATATCCAGGACAACTTAGGCCTAATTATAGCTTACTAAGCTTTAACTATACTATATTATGATCAACAAATCATAACTTTTTTTTTCGCATTTAGCACAATTTTCTTCTCTTTTTATTGCTATTAATATTATTATCAATTATTACTATCGTCATCATCATCATTGTTATTATTATTATTACTATTAGTAGTGTATTATTAAACAAACATGATCTTTTATCAGGGATTTTTGACAACCATAGAGATCTTATTAATGTGTGTGTGATATACCATAGAAAAAAACATAGAAAAAAAAAGCTTAAAAACATTGTCTTTGAGTATGTACTTTACATAGGGCTACTTCAAAAACGTGATTTCACAACGTCCTCAGCCCCACCATGACTGGGGCTGAGGTGAGAAAATTTGAGGAAATAGTACCTCTCGAGATGGCCGGAAATGACACTTTTATATAGTAAAATTCATCACCATCACATTACCATTATAGTCAAAATGAAACGCCAACAAATTTCTCATGATCA